TGGATTGGGTGTCCCCCTCCCCCCAACACACACTAATTGGGTGTAGGGCCCATCAGCCAATTGCCCACAGCCCCTCCCCACTGGCTGGCCCTGCCTCATTGGGCCCTGATCAGGATGGGCTGGCTTGCCAGCCAACCTCCAGTCATCTCCTCCTCCCAACTCACCACCCTGATCACCAGCCTGGACCCCACCCGAATTTACACACTGGGCCTCTAGTGCATACATAAAGTGATTGTACCATAGGGAAGTGGCATCTTCCTCAGGAGGTCAGAAGTGATCTTTCAGCCACTTAGATGTTCCAGGCACTTGACATTTGTGAACTCACCTACACCATTCTTGTGAGATCCACATTTCCTCACTTTACAAATGAGAAAATAAGCTAAGGAGGTAAAATACCTCTAAGGTCAGCTACATAGGTGAGGATTTTAGCCCTGCTCCCTTTGGTTCCAAAGTCCTTGTGCTCTTTGTTCTGAACGATTCCTGAAGGTGTTTTCCAGTTCTGACCTTTGGAATGAACTCTGGCCCCTTGCTGGCATTGGAGGCCTGGCATCTGCTCATGGCTTACTCCACATTGAGTGAATTTGGGGCAGAATTGTTTATATCTCATCTGTTGACCAAACCCCTGGGCAATCTGAGGAAGCCCTGGATTCAAGCACCAAACTATGTAGTTGGGATAGGAGTCTGGCTAGGCCTGCACTTGGGCAGTCATCTCAGCATCTCCCTCTACTCTTGGGCTGTGGTCCCTGTCAGCCCCATCTCTCTAACTAGACCAGATTTAGGAACGCTCAGGCCATCCACCCCCGCTCCCCATCATGCCCATCATGGGGCAGGATTACCATTGTGAGCAAGACAATTCTCTGGACACAGTATGAATGACAGACAGTAGAAGTTCGGCTGGCAAAGGGGCCAGGATTTAATCCAGGGCTCCATCTGAGGTGCAGTCACCCCTCAGTTGATGACTTTGTTGGGGTCCTCTATCCCCTCCTAGTACCCTGACTCACCTCTCCCCTCCTCTCTGCCCACAGTGAGGAGCCCCCAGGAGAGGCAGCCCAGGCTGTGGTTGTGAGTGACACCCTGAAAGAAGCTGGCACCCACTACATCATGGCAGCCGATGGGACCCAACTGCATCACATCGAGGTGAGGCTGGGTAGCTCACCACACCCCATTTCCCTTCCCATCTCTCCCTCCGTGCCTCATGCTCCCGGTCTCCACAGCTGACTGCAGATGGCTCCATCTCCTTCCCAAGTTCTGATGCCCTGGCCTCTGGAGCCAAGTGGCCACTGCTACAATGTGGGGGGCCATCCAGAGACGGCCCTGAGCCCCCATCTCCAGCCGGAACCCACCCAGTAGAAGACCTCCAAGGCTCTGCCTCCCCACCTCCGACAACTAGTAAAGCCCTGGGCCTGGTAGTGCCCGCCTCCCCACCATCTGCAGTGTCAAAGAAGTTTTCCTGCAAGATCTGTGCCGAGGCCTTCTATGGCCGAGCCGAGATGGAGAGTCACAAACGGGCCCATGCTGGGCCGAGTGCCTTCAAGTGCCCTGACTGCCCTTTCAGCGCCCGCCAATGGCCTGAGGTCCGGGTAGGTGCTGTTCCCTGTGCTTTCGTTGTCACAAACTTTGACTGAGTGCCCCCTTGAGCCAGCCCTCTCTAGTTAGAGATAACTCGGCAAGTTTCTCAGGTTGCTCAGTCTGGGGGGAGACCAGACATGACTGATGCCTGACACTGTCCCCGGAGTGCACCATGCACATGGCAGAGCACAGGCAAAGAACATGTCTGTGGACTTGGCGTGCGAGGAGATGTCATGGAGGAGGTGGAAAATTCGAGTCTTTCAGAATACCGAGGGTGCAGAGTTCAAGGGAGGTTCTGGGGCTCATGATCCAATTTGGGGGGCTCCCTCCCGAAAACCCCTTCACCCAAGGATTTTGTTTTCAGATCCAACCACACACTGAATCCTCACACTACCTCAGTGAGGGAGCAGGGCCCAAGCCCTAGAATGTCAGGTCTGGGGGAGATGGCTAGAGGTCCTTTTGTCCATACCTGTACCCTTATGGATAAACTGCATCTGAGAGCAGGGCAGGATTTTCCCAGTGATCTAATGACAGAGCCTCTGGCTTTTCCCAGGCACACAGTTCCAAATCTCGGTCTGGTTTGTACTCTGCCCAATTCCTGACTCACCTCAGAGGACATGTTCCCTGACTGCTGTCTGTCCGGACCCAGCTGATTCCTCTTACTCTGCCCCTTCCGCAGGCCCACATGGTGCAGCACTTAAGCCTGCGGCCCCACCAGTGTAGCCAGTGCAGCTTTGCCTCCAAAAACAAGAAGGACCTGCGGCGGCACATGCTGACCCACACCAACGAGAAGCCTTTTTCATGCCACCTCTGCGGGCAGCGGTGAGGCTGGGTATAGACAGGCTGGGGCTGCTGGGCATGCATGGTAGGGCCACCCCTGAGAACTTTATCCTTCCCCTGCAGTTTTAACCGGAACGGACACCTCAAGTTTCACATCCAGCGGCTACATAGTCCTGATGGGAGAAAGGCAGGGACCCCTACTGCCCGGGCCCCAGCTGGGACCCCCACCCAGACCATCATCCTGAACAGTGATGACGAAACACTGGCCACACTGCACAGTGAGCTGCCCCAGGGGACCCAGGGTAGACCAGGCACTTAAGCCTCTGCCCTAGAGAGCACCCTTGGGCTGTGGTGGGGCCTGGGCATTCAGATTTTCCTGGAGCCCCTGAGTGAACACCCTCCCCTCTCTGCCCAGCCGCACTCCAGTCCAGTCATGGGGTCCTGGGCCCAGAGCAGCTACAGCAGGCACTGGGCCAGGAACACATCATCGTGGCCCAGGAGCAAACAGTGACCAATCAGGTGAGAGCCTGCACTGGGGGCCCTGCCTGCAGGTCAAGGGAAGGGGTGGGGCACATGGAGAACTGATGCTAGAGCTGGCTTGGCTGTGGCAGGAGGAAGCCACTTACATCCAAGAGATCACCACAGCAGATGGCCAGACAGTACAGCATCTGGTGACCTCCGACAACCAGGTGAGCTACTACTGAACTCCTTAGCTGTGAGTGCCCCTCCGCCAGGCCCCACATTGGAAAGGAGCAATACTTTCCAAGCCACCCTTCCCAGGATGAGTGTTTGCAACGGCCAGTGGTGTCCCTGGTCCCTCTGCCCTACCATCCTCACTGAGCTCCTGCTGAGCAGGGCCATAGCACCTGCCTCTCCACCCTCCAGGTGCAGTACATCATTTCTCAGGACGGAGTTCAGCACCTGCTCCCTCAGGAATATGTTGTGGTCCCAGAGGGCCATCACATCCAGGTAGGCCAGGCCTCAGGTGAGAATGGGATGTGAGGAGGATGGACAACCTCCTTCTAGGATCACCGGGTTGACTTCCTCTCTCCAGGTACAGGAGGGCCAGATCACGCACATCCAGTACGAACAAGGAGCTCCATTCCTTCAGGAGTCCCAGGTAGGGCCCTTGGGGAACCAGATAAAGCTGAGGCATGGGCAGGGCTCTTCCAAGGCCACGCCTCATTGGCTTTTCCCCTCCAGATCCAATATGTTCCTGTGTCCCCAAGCCAGCAGCTCGTCACACAGGCCCAGCTAGAGGCTGCAGCACACTCGGCTGTCACAGGTATGGTATTGGACCCTGAAGACCATGGGGCCCGGGGCCCAGGCCCAGCTTCTGGAGCCTCAGCTCACCATCCTTTCCCCTCCCCTGGCAGCGGTGGCCGATGCTGCCATGGCCCAAGCCCAGGGCCTGTTTGGCACAGAGGAGACAGTGCCTGAACACATCCAACAACTGCAACACCAGGGCATCGAGTACGACGTCATCACCCTGACCGATGACTAAGCCCCAGGGGCACAACACAGACCATGGATATGGGGGTAGCCCTGTTGGGGGTGGAGGGAATCCACCAGGACTCACCTCCCTGCTCCACCTAGGATCTCCAGATACTGAGCAGCCAGCATCCTGTCACTCCAAGGGAGCCAGACCTGTGCTATGGGGGTTGGGGTGGGGCAGCTATGGGCACCAGCCAGGACATGCTGGGTGCCCCAGCCTGCAGGCAGGCTTTGGAAAAAAAAAAATTTATTTTTGTTTGGATGGACCCACTGGCCTTACTCTCAATAAAGGGACCAGAGTCCAGCTCTAGCTGGCTCATTTGTCCATTTGCTGCTACAGCCTGAAGCAGGCAAGGACTTGGGGAGAGGACAGGTGGAGCCTGTTACAGCCACAAGTAGGGACTGAGGTGGAGGCAGCCTAACCTGCAGAGCATCCAGTCTGGCCTCTATAAATACAGTGGCTCCACACAGTCCATGAGGGCCCTCAGCTTCTTCCCCTGGACCCCAGAGCAGCAGCCTGTGATGGCTCTGAGCTGTACTTCCTTCTGAATCTTGACTTGAGTGTAAAACACACCTGGCTGCCCACATAATGTGGTGGTTCCAAGGCCAGCAGGTGTCTAACTTTCTACCTGGGCAGAGCTGCCAGCCCAGCCCTCAGCTCCCCACATGGATTAGCACAGGCTCAGTTCTGGGAGTTAGGGATTAACCAGGTAGATGGTGCAGGGCTCTGGACTCCAGACCTGCTGGGCACAGGCTGAGGCCACCAGGGCCCCAGTTGTGGGGAAAGCAGGGTGAGGAGTAGGACACTGGAGCCCTGGGTTGGGTGTTAAGGCCCAGGGTCACGAAGTGAACCTGGACATACAGGGCTGGAATCCCAGAAAGCTCCAGGTTTCTCAGCTTTCTGCCCTCAAGACCCTCACTCGTTCTGACCGAAGGGTTTCTATATTTACTTTTACAAATGAAACAAGGTGGCACAGAAGGTAGGGAGGTGTGGGGCCTATTTACAGGGGACTTGAAGTTTGAGGTGAGAAGTGAGGGGGGGGCAGGGAGGGGGAGCCTTGGCAGAGCCATAATCTTCCTATGTCATTGGCAGTCCAAGAGCAGAGTCCCACCAATCCAAGCTAGCACCCCGGGGCTCCTCCTCCCCGCAGGATGTGTTAGGTGGGGTGAGACTCTCGGCTCGGGCCCTCCTCTCGGCCTGAGTCCCGGTCCTTAGCCTCCGAGGAGGATGAGGAGGAAGAGCTGGAGCCATGGCTGCGGCCTGACTGCCGGTAGGCGGTGGTCAGCTCTTGCAGCTTCTCAGCAGTTGGCCCCCACTTGGCAAAGCCAGGGTCGTTCTGCAGGAAGAGCACGGCTGTGTTGTGGACCACCTTGTAGTGCATTTCTTCCCTGCGGGCAGAGGCAGCAGCTCATGGTAGGGCTCTGCTGGCCCAATCCACCCAGCCCTCTCCCCCTGCCCTCCCTGGAAACCCACTTCTTGCAGACGTGTTGGGACCCACTGCGGTACTCATGTTCAAAGGCGGGCAGGACCAGCTGGTGGCGTTTGAAGCGGCTCTGTTCCATGCGGGTGAGCGCCGGTGTTGGGGGTTCCCGCCACTCAGGGATGAACACGATGAAGGACAGGGGCTCTGGTGAGCTCTCGAGCAGTTTCTGGGGGAGGTGGCACGGGGTGAATGTCAGAGGCTTCCCTCCAGGTGCTGGCAGTCTTGCTTGCCAGTCCCCACCCCAGAACAGCATACCCACCTCGAAATGAGAGACCATGGCATCCATGAGCTCCTCGCAGAATGGAGGGTTGGCCTCAAAGGAACCACTCAGCGGGGAGAAGTCCAGGCAGGGCCTGGGGACAGAGGTGAGCATTCTAAGTCCCAGAAGGTTCCAGGTTCCTCAGCTTTCTCTGCCCTCAAGACCCTCACTCGTTCTTACTGGAAGGTTTCTGTATTTACTCAGCCAGAGATAGGTGCTGCCCCCACGCTTAGGCAGCCACATTGAAGAGATGGCCCTGATGAGGCCAGAGGCCAACATTCATCCTTAGTTCATCCTAGGGCAAGGTGTGGCCATATCCATTGGACATATAAGGACAGAGAGGCTCAAGTCCACCAAGCCGATTAGTAGAGGAGCTGGAGCTCAAATCCATCTCTGACCCCACTGCCACACCCAGGATTTCCCTATTGCTGGCCTGGCCCTGTCTTCTTGCTGGAGACCATCTCCTATCTATGTTCACCTCCTGTTAGTCTGTAAGGCTTCTGAGCTCTGTATCACCATTTCTCTTCCTTCCAGTATTCCAAATACAGGCTGATTCACTAAGAAACCCACAGGCTTGGTTGGGGGTAGGGTGTTAATAGGCCCCCAGAGGTTTAAGGATATGTCCAAGGTCATGTATCTGGCGTGGTGAAGGCAGGGACCACACCCTAGATGGACTCCAAAGCATTTAGAAAGCAGCTAGCCAAGGCGGCCCTCTGACTGACAGTTTCCCAGGCCTGGGCAGGGGGGCCCAGTAGTCCCCTAGCTCTCACCCGCGGGAGCCAAAATAGCCATCTGTGTCAGGGAAAGCAGAGCAGTACTGGCGGAAGTAGCAGTTGAGGGGTGAGGCAAAACACTCAAAGGTGACACTGAAGAGTCGGTGGAGGGCCTCGAAGACGTGTACGGGCAGCGATCCCTGCAAGCCTGTCCCCTCGTAGAGGCCTACGCCAAACATCATCTGCAGAATGGCCACAGTCAGCATCTGGTGCTCAGTCTCCCCCTCCAGAAGAGCCCTCCCCTGCTACCCGACCTATACCTGGTACCGTCGGAGAAGACACCAGACTCGGGGCAGAAACTTCTCAAAGGCAGAGTCATCAATGCAGCTATAACGGTAAAGGAGCCACTATGGGACAGAAAGCAGTGGGTTTCAATTCAGCACAGGTGCCTCCCTTGTCACCGGCCTCTTGCTGAAGACTTTGGGTCAAGAGAGATCCAGCCCTCCCTTCCACCCGCCTCCCCCTTCCCTCAGCTCTTACCAGCTTACTGAAGTAGTTGCGGCTGACCTTGACCATCTCTCCCTTATATCGGATGCAGACCACGTTATTCTCTATGTGCATCTCCACGGTAGGCATGGGGGGCGCAGGCACAGCTAGCCGTACTGGGTAGCAGTACACCAGGCGGGGCTCCACCTCTGGGGTCTCCACCTCCTCTGTGGATGGGAGGACAGTGAGGGGCCGCCCTGGACACCTGTGTCCACTGTGTCAGGGGCTTCCCACCTCATCCAGTGACCAAGGAGGTATGTCCCACCCCACGGAGGAGTAAGTGCAGCTCCGAAGGTTCAGTAACAAAGGACACATGGGGGACCAGGGGATTAGCAGAGGCAAGCACAGGTGGCCTGACAATGTGCCATGCCTTAGGGCCTGGCAGGCAAGCAGGTTCAGATGCCATGCAGAAGTAGAACTGCATCACCCTCATCACAGTAGTTACCTCACTTAGGGGTCTTCTGGGGCCAACCACTTTAACTTACCACTGAATCCTCACATGATCCTATTGGTCAGGTATCATACCTCAATTAGAGAACACTGAGGCTTACAGAGTTTGAACGAAGGTCCAGCTAACCCTGCCTGTCTTTCTCTCCCACCTCCTCTCATTGCTTTGCCATTTCCTAGAAGAGTGCTGAGAACCCTGGCCAAAGAACACAGCAGGTCGTGTCCCAGACGCTGCTGGGAGGAATGAGCCACCCCAAACCGGTCTATGCCTTGAAGTTGTTCACTTGTCCCTTCAACCAGGGCCTAGGATAGAGCTGATAGTATAGTCCCTTCCACCTGGCTTCCTACCTGGGATGTTGTTTTCCTTGAGGATGGCAAGGTGCTTCTCTCGGATCCGTTTGACGTAATCCAGGGAAATATGGTAGATCTTACTGCAGATGCCTTCCACAGAGTCCTTGGCCGCGGCCGAGACATGGGGGCCACACTGTTTGCGCAGATGTTCCAGGCGATCCTGGAGGAGATAGGGCTCTAGTGAGCTGGCAGGCAGGGGAGGGCTGCTGGACTGCAGCCATCCTCATTTAGAAATAGGCTCTGCTACTTATTAGCTGTGTCGTTAGGTCTCTGAATCTGTATCTCACTGTTAAGGATAAATGAAATACTTACCTAGCAAGGCAGTTGGAATATTAAATATGGTCATTCCTGCTAAGGGCTTAACAAACCCCTGGCATATATGTAGTAAGTGTCCAATAAATGCCATAGTTTAATGTTGGGGTTACACTGTGCCAGATCCCATGATTCTTGGTAGAGAAACAGACAATTGGGCATAGTCCCCTTTTACAAAGCATTTGTAGTTATTGGGGAGAGAGATTACAGAATGGGATCCTTCCTTGATCATTGTAGATTTGAAATTTGAGCTTTTAATAACTTGCAAGAATAATTAGGGGCATTTGTAATTTTGCTGAGTCATACATGTGGAAGTCGGATGAGTGGAAATGAGTCACTCTGGCTATTGAGCACACACCTACCTTTGTCAGTCTCTACGTGTCAAGTACACAGTTACTATCATGAAGTGCGAAACCTTGTCTCTTGTGAAAAATAGTCCTGAAAAGAAAGCCCATTGCTAGTGCAGGTGAATTAAAGAAGAGATGGGTTTGGACCAGAAAAAAAAATGTTTTGGACACATTGAAGTAGGGAGTTGAATTGAATCTTGTGGTAGCTCTTCAATATATGAACACACACACATCTAAGAAAAGACAGTTTGTCCGTCTGTTTCCAAAAGATGTTGATTGTTCATTAAGTTGAAAAGGCAGCTACTGATGGTAGCCAAGCACAGAATTCCATTAAGAATCTTAATGGAAATGTTCTTTGGGAAAAAGCCAGGAGCCTAGACAAACATTTCTATTCACATGAGTTTGGGGACTGATGAGTGTCAAAGGTCTGCTAAGCAGGTCGTCGTGAGGCCCTGCCCAGCCTGGGCAGGCAGAGTGGGCTCTGGGAGGAAATGGCCACAGAGCCTTTCCATTGACCTTATCCAGGGCCACTCACCATGTAGTCCTCTTTGGAGGCTGAGTGGTCCTTCCGCAGCCAGCTGAAGGTGTCCTCCACGTTCCACTTGACCACCTTCCTGCTGTCAGGGGATGCACTCCTGCCAGAGAGCACGGGAGACCAGCGGTTAAGGGTCTGTTCTAACCTCCTTACTCCGCTCATCCCACTTCCATTGGCTTTTAGCCATCAACTCCTAGATTTACATCACAGTCTCTCTTCTGCCTTTGGGAGCTAACCCCACTTCTGCCACCAAACCCAATGACAGCCATGTTGAGTGTGAGCCAATGGCCTGTGAAACCAGCCCCTCTTCACAGACCCATCCTGCTGGGGCAGGAGAGAGCCAAACCTGGACTCGATGAGCCGCCTGGCCGCCTCTGCGTATTTAAAAAGCAGGCGCTTAGCTTCCTCCCGGAACTTGATTCGGGATAACCTAGATTAGAGAGTGGACAGAGTTAGAGTCCTTCTGTACAGAACTGGGCACAAACTAAATAGCCCTGGATCATCCTCAGCTGTGGGACTATACCTGATGGGAATGTCATTCATGATTTCACGAAACATGGAAGGCGACACAACTGGCTCACAGTTGCTTGGCAACATGGGGTCAGAGCCTTTGTCCACCACCTTGCGTTCCAGCATCCAGCGGTTGAAAGATTCCCGAGGGGGCTCAATGCCTGCAGAACAGGAAGACTGATGAAGATCTGAATTCAGGAGGCATTGTGTGGGCATTGGAGGTGCAACAGGAAATAAGACATGACTGCTGTTGTCAGGCTTCCATTCTAAGCAACATCTGACAATCACTAGTTCTTCAAAGTATGTTACATAAGGTAAGAAAGGGAGAGGGATGTCTATATTTCAGCAAATTCAGGCAGATTTATTTACTAATTGAAACTACCATTTACTGTGCACTTTCCATTCCACTTACTCTTTGTAGTAATCCTGTGAGGTAGTTCCTCTTTTTATGCGCTTTTACAAATACATAAAAAGGCTCTGAATGGTGCCTGGCAAATAGTAAGCATTCTAAAAATGTCAATAATTGTTTCTTGTTTTGTTACTGACCTCAGCCACCCTTTATGTAGGCACTGTTATTGTCCCTATCTTACAGATGATGGAACCCAAGGTCACAGAACCAGCACTTAGTGGAACTGGGACTCCCAACAGGTCTGTCCCCCCCATAGCACATGCTCAACCACTGGGTTCCAGAGTGCCATCCCCAAGCTGGCCAACCCCTGCTCCTGCTAAGGGTGAATGAAAACAGAGGCCAAGACCCAGGAAACAGTTACCTTCTCGCTGCTGGCACAGCTCCCGGTAGTGCTGCCGAAGCTTCAGGATGAGCTGGGAGCGGAGCAGCTCCACCTCAGGATGGGGGGGCAGCACCTCGGAAGGGCCCCGGTGCTTGATGACAGCGTTGGTCTGGATATCTAGATCCCAGTACACCCTACGGGGATGGAGAGGAGCAATGAGGAAAGCAGAGAAAAGGGAGGAGGGGCACCCTACCCATCACCACCACCTCAGTCGTAGGCACCAACAATGGGTGTCCCCAAGCCAATCAACAGGGACTCACTCAGTGGGTCGGAGGAGAGCTGCCTGCTGTTTATCTTCAGGGGATGTTCCCCAAATCTTCAGTGTTGGGGTTCCTGGGATGCTGGGGGAACTGGGCACCGATGGACCTGTGGGTGTCACAGGGATTTCGATCTGGAGCAAAAGAGTCAAAGGCATCAAGTTAGAAGAGCTGGCCGATAGCTCCAGCGCTGTGTACACTGGGGAGCTGGGCACTGGGCTCCCCTCCTGACTGGCCTGGCAATGCCCAGCCCTTGCAGGGAACCAGCTAGCTGCCTACAGGAAGCTGCAGACACTCACCTTGGGCTTCTTCACACCATTGCCGCTTGGCTGCTCTTCTGAGAGCTGCCGCTTTCGGGACTTGTTCTCAGCTGGAGGGGTTTCCACCAAGCTTGAGTCTTGGGGCAGTGGGGTCGCATTCAGCCCCAAAGGGTCCGACTGGAGGAGGGAGACCAGCAGAGTTGCAACCAGAGCCAGCAGCTTAGGAGTCCCAGTACTGCGGAGTCCTGATAGCCCCCACCCCCTGCTCCGACTCCTCAGAGAAGAACAGGGGGCTGGGATGCAGAACACTGGGCACTACTCCTGCCTGCTACTCCTGCAAGCAACTGTGTGATCTTGGAAGTTACTTCCCTTCCTAATTCCCTTCAAAACGGCCATGATACCTCACTACTGATTGATGATTAAACAAGTCAATGAATATGACCAGCTTAATGTGACATCTGGCATGAGGTCAGCACTCAAAGTGTTAAGAACCAAAAAAAGTCAGGAATGAAAGGAAAATTCAAGAAACACTTGTTTTTTTAAAAAGCAAAGCCCTGTGATGGAACTCCTTTGGTGACAAAATATGCAAATGATGGTGGGCAGTGGGCCCTGAAATCACATCAGATACAAATCCTGTTCTGCCTCTTACTGGCTGTGAGGTCTTGGGCCAGTCATTTCGCCTCTCTGAGCCTCAATGTCTTCATCTGCAAAATGGGAATGCCAACTGGCTTGACTGTTTCTAAGAAAAGAAAGACTGCCCAAATTGACAAAGATCCAGAAGCCCATGCTCCCATCAGACTGCCCGTACCTCCCTTACCACAATGACCTCGAAGTTACCAGAATGCGTGTGCCCTCCCCTTACCAACCTTCTTATCTTAACCACTAATTCAGAGAAGCATTCCGGAAACCCATCTACCCCCAGACCCAGTCAGGATCCCTGATGCACCCTAACATCATCCTTCACAAAAGTGCCACGTTGTAATCCTAGTAGCCCCCTCCAGTAGATCCCCGAGTTCAAGGGCAGGACCATGTCTTTCTTGTTCACACTGCATCCCAAGCACAGTTCAGTATCACACTATTCTAGTCTGTTTATATGAGTCTAGATTCCATGAGATGAAGACTGTTCTGTTGTCATCATACCCCCAGAACAAGGCACATAATAATGTTCAGGGTACATTTGGGGAAGATCCAGATGCCAAAGGCTGCTGTGAGACCCTGCCCGAGGCTGGAACTTACAATAACGTCATGCTGGCCCAGCACGGGCATCTCCCACAGAGACTGGTTGGTGAATCTGTTAAAGTAGTAGGGCCGGTTCTCCCTCCTGCTCCAGCACTTCTCCCAGCCTGCATGTACCAGCTCCTCTGCAAACAAGCATGGAACCCAGCCTGGGTCAGGGCTCCTCCTGGGGCACCCTTCTGACCCCACCACCCTGCCACTACCCCTTGCCAGTACCTGGGAGGTCCTGTGCCAGGCGGATGGGCTTTGGAGAAGAGGGCTGGCTCTGATTGGAGGTGCCTGGGGAGTGACTCAGCAAGGATGCTTCCTCCCGGGGGCTGCCGTGATTCTCATTGGCCATCTCAGCACCCACACTGGACCTGCCACACAGAGAACCAAAGGGTGTCAGGGCCATCAGGGCATGGAGGTCATTTCCACCCACCACCCAGCAATTACAACCTAGAGGGCCCCAGTGATCACCTGCAGATGTGGGAAATCAATCCCGTCCCATCCTGGAGGGACAGCGTGGTGCCATAGGAGCCCTGGAATCTAAGCTGCAGTTTCCTCAACTGTAAAATGGGTGTACTCCTATTGCTCCTTTTGCCTGAAGCATGCTTTCCCTAATTCTCTGCCTGGCTTGCCACTAGGTTCTCATCCTCCAGGAAGCCTTCCTTGACTCTTCCCTCCCCCAAGCAAGGCAGGCAGAGCGCCTCTTCAGGGCTATAAATATCTACATTGTAGCACTCAGTCTGTGGTCTATGAGCTGGGTTTGTCTCCCCATTAAACTGTCAGAACTCCCAGGACTTGGAATTGGGTCCAGTTTAGCCCTCTCCAGAGTGCTCAGCAGGGTACCTGTACTCTACTAAAAATATTTACAAAGCATCAAGTGACAACACAGAACAGTCTACCTTTGAGAAGCTATTCCCATAAGAAGGAACTGTACCTCCTCTTTCCTGCTCCTGTCCAGTAAAATCTAACTGGCACAAAGCACACCCCAGAAGGGACATGACATCTAAAAAGAGCCTCATTTTATACTGTAGGGCGGGAAGCAGGAAGCAATCTGTTGCTAAAAGGAACCAGTGGAATCGAGGAATGTTGAAGTCAGTCCTTCATAATCTCCAGGTGAAATTTTATTTAAATACCAGGAAGGTCAGCTCCTTTCAGATGTGTATTACCTACAAACCCCACCAAAAATACACCCAACACATGTCTCGATGAACAAAGTAGTTCCCAACCTGGCCGTCAGACTCCTAGATGGCCAACTGTGACCAGACTGGTGATCCTCATGGTGTTTTCAATATATCACAATACCCCAAAGAAGTCAAACATACCCACCAAAAGACCACAAAGGCACATTTAAACATCAGTTATCTTTGCTTGCTGAAATTTTATCAATTCACCGTGGTGACACTGATTATCTCATGCTGATCAGAAGCTCTGATTGGCTGTTGACAACATCATAGGAGTCATTGGGACATTGATTTTATTGTACACTCAGTTGGAGACATCTTTTGTTAATTTGTAAAGGGAAAAGTGAATGGTGGTTTCATGGGTACAGTTTGGCAAATAAAAATGCAGGAAGCAAATGGACATCCATACAACAAAAAGGGGCCATGATAACAAAAAGGTTTGGAATCACTGACCAAGGGGAGAAAAAGCTGTAGTTGTCTTGGTTCTCTGCGGAAGAGGGGTTCCTGGTGCCTTGGGGCTGAGCCCACAGGTCTCAAGGCTGAACGAGTTCCCTCTTTTCTCACCCTCCAAGGTCTGCAATACTAGCATGAGAGGATTTTCCTTCTCCGGCCGGGTGGACCCCAAGTCACAGGGTCCCACAGAGGCAGGGAAGAGGCCTGCAGAAAGGCTCAGCACGTGGGTGGGCTGGTCAGCAGTAGAGTGAACGGGGACCCAGGGAATTCCTTGCATCAGCAACTGCAGAGCAAATAAAAGAAAACAGTCACAGGTGAAACACTGCAGATCAGGGACAACAACAAGATGGGCAAACTGGAACCCTCCCTCAAACACTGTGGGGGAGCTGGTACTTGTCAAGCTTCCCAACCAAACAGGTTCACCCTCTTAGACATGCAGTCTATAGTCGCATAGAGCTCTGTGTTGATGAGGGCCCTGGGCCTAATTTAATGTTCTACTGTCACTGTCTTAAAATATTTAAACTTTTGCCGAAACCGGTTTGGCTCAGTGGACAGAGCGTCGGCCTGTGGACTGAAAGGTCCCCGGTTCGATTCCGGTCAAGGGCATGTACCTTGGATGCAGGCACATCCCCAATGGGGGGTGTGCAAGAGGCAGCTGGTTGATGTTTCTCTCTCATCAGTGTTTCTAACTCTCTATCCCTCTCAATTCCTCTCTGTGTAAAATCAATAAAATATATTTTTTAAAAATATTTAAATTTTTAACCATGGGTCCACATTTTCCTTTTGCACATTGGACCCTTCATATTGCCCTGCCAACTGAAGTATCCCCAAGACAAAAGTGAACAACCATATATATCACAGATTGAGGACAAGCTCTCAGCCACCCACACTTCTTTGAACTAAGTCTCTAATGAACACACACATATGCAAATGCATTATATAACAGTGTGTTCATCTTTACTGAAAACTATTTTCCCCAAGAAACAGTGTGATACTGATGCACCAGTTAGATTAGCTATGCGGAGGCGGCACAGCTTACTGAAGCCAAATGGGGACACTGCAGTGTTTCCAAAACCCGCTATGCATAAGTACCAAGTGGCTTGTAAAAAAAAAAAAAAAAAAAAAAAAAAAATCAGATTCCTGTCCCTCACTTAACATCTCAGGAGTCAGAAATGGGGAGGGGAGGTACACAAGAATGTGTATGTGTGTTTTTTAAATGAACATGAAGAGTGGTACTGAGAGATGGGATGACCAACCTTTTTGCTTTATACCATTTCAAATCGTTAGCAGTTTTTTACAATTAAATTTTTTTTTAAATTTCCCAGCTGATATGGATGCAGCAGGTCATTTATCAAAGTACCAGTGGGGCCCGGCGGGCATGGCTCAGTAGTTGAGCACCCACCTATGAGCCAGGAGGTCACAGTGGATTCCTGTGGGGCACATGTCTGGGTTTCAAGCTCCGTCGTGCAGGAGGCAGCCAATCAATGATTCTCTGTCATCATTGATTTTACTATCTCTCTATCCCTCTGATGGCAATAAAAAAAAAAAAATTTAAGTACCAGCTGGGGTTGGGCAGACCCAAGTTCCAGAACCTTCTGCTAACTTTCCGATTTATAAACCGCACTCAATCTCTATGGACTCTATGCCTAGAGTCTAGCATATTTACAGCCTCAGAAAAACACAAATATTATTATTAAGATGGCGTTTTTATTGATTTTGTAGCTCGCTGGCCGCCCGCATACCGCAGTTTGACAGCCAAGCCGTTTAAGGATAAACTATCAGCGCAACCAACCAGAGAAACCCACCACAACACAGGGTCCGTTCCAGGACTGGAGAAAGATGGGGGGCGGGATCGTCTCAGAAACACGCCAATCAGAACCCTCCAGCCCAGTAGGGCGGGGTCAAAGGACTTGCAAAGTGCGCAGGTGCGGGGGCGCGCGAGGGAGGGGCGACCCCCCGCGCGCGCACACCTTCCCCTCTCCCCCCACCCCAGCGGGGGCGGGCAGTTTGGCGCGCGCGCGTCGGCCCATCTCCCGGGCTCCGCCCCCCGCCCTGCCGCGCGCTCCCGCCCCCGGGCTGAGGCGACTCAGAGTCGGAGCCCGACACAAAGGCGGTGGCGGCGGCGGCAGCGGAGGGGCCTTGCAGGCCGCTCCGCCAACGCTCTCCGGGCCCACCTCCCTCACCCAGGCCACCGGCCCGGCCGCCCACCCTCAGGCCTAAGATGGCGGCGGCGGCAGAGACGAAGCAACCGGTGGCCCCGAGTGAAAAGCGTCGGAGAGGCCACCACCGCCCGGCTTCGGACTCCCGGATCCTGGCCCGGCTCGCAGCGGTACCACGGCTTCCTGGCGCTCTTACCTGCCCGAAGTGGACTCGAGGGGATGCGGCGATACGTTCTGCTCAGCCGCCCGTTTTGCCGCCTCCGCCTCTCCCTCCCCAGCGCCGCTCCCGCCATCTTGTGTCCCAGGCCGGGACTCCGCGCTGCGCATGCGCTGGTCCCGCCTCTGAGGGACCTCGCCGCTCCCGGCCGCCATCTTGAGTGTGGCAGGATAGTCCGGGTCCTCAAGCCCCGCTTCTTTTCGGCCCCCTCCTTTACCTCTCGTTTTCCCCTGCCCCTCCATGCGGGTCTGAGGAGCGGGGAAACAGCTTGGCGGGTCCTGGGGTGTGTGATAGTGGAAGGAACGAACTCACAAGCACGCTCCCTGCCTCAGTTTCCCACGCGGGCACGCCCGCTGGGCGGAAGGACCCGGGTGGGCGGCGCGCGGCGGCATTGGGTTGCGTGTGCGCACCAGGGGGCGCGGGCGGGTTTGAAACAGGCCCGGCTCGGACGCCGCCCGGGGGCGGAGTCCTGGTGACGTAGCTGCGGGCGCAAGGTGCTCGGGGTCCTAGCCCCGGCGCTGCTCCGCTTCCAGCCTGTCGCTTGTCCTCTCTGGGCCTCTGTGTAGGGTTTTACAGCCACTTTCCATGTCCAGGGTGCATGCAAATTGGGTCTCCCATAATGAGGCTGCACAGGTTATAAGTGCTCTTGAGTAGAAGAAAGAACGCAGTGGGAGACAATAAAGATGGCTTTGCTGGTTGCAACTGGCTAATTCTATATTTTACACTGTAGCCCGACCGGTGTTGCTCAGTGCTTAAGCGTCTACCCAGGAATCGGGACCTTTATGGATTCCCCGTCAAAGCTCATGCCTGGGTTGCTCTTGATCCGGTAGGGGGCGTGCAGGAGGCAGCCGATTGATGTTTCTCATGGATGTTCCTGTTCTCTCTCTGAAATCAGTTAAAACATTTTTTTAAAATCTTACACTGTAGCCCTAACCGGTTTGGCTCAGTGGATAGAGCATCGGCCTGCGGACTCAAGGGTCCCAGGTTCGATTCCAATCAAAGGCATGTACATTGGTTGTGGGCACATCCCCAATAGGAGGTGTGCAGGAGGCAGCTGATTGATGTTTCTAACTCTCCCTCTCCCTTCCTCTCTGTAAAAAAAAAAAAAGTCAATAAAATATATTTTTTTTAAAAAAGATGAACTGAACTCTCGAAGATTTCAATTCATTTTTTAAAAAAGTCTTACACTGTAGAGATCAACCAAAGGACTTGTATGCATGTATATAAGCCTAACCAGTGGTCACTAGGGGAGAGGGTATTGGGGGGGGGGGGGGTAATGGGAATGGGGAGATGAGGACAATTATGTGATACCATAATCAATAAAAAATAAAAATATTACACT